AGGCTGCTGGGTAGATGTTGTCAAAGGTTGTCAAGGTTCTAAGACTCCTATACAGCACCAGTTAGCCATAAAGCAGCACCGGGAAGCTACCACAGGAGGCCGTTCTTCACATACCAAGAGCATTTCATCAGGAGGGGTCCTGATTTCAGCTCCTAGCCCTGGTGGCAGCTGTGTTTCAGGAAGACATCTTTGTGCTTAGCAAAGCGGTGGTGCCCAAGCTTCACTGCATCAGGTGGAAAGGACAAGGCTGCAGGCTTCCTAAGCATCATCAGCAGACAGGAACCAATGCACACTCTACTTCCAATTGTCAAGAGGGAGGCTATGAGTTAGTCATTTGGGAGTCATTCAGTCAGGTTGGTGAAAAGCTCATGAACATCTGTATACAGCAACTGGAAGAGCACAGCACTCGGATCTGGAGAGGCAGAGCCATCTGTCCCTGCAGTGGGGAGCAGCTCTGAGTCTCAAAGTGCAGGTCTGAGCTCTTGTTGTCTTCTGCTGATTGAAAATGGGCAAGCTACTTAACCACACTGCTGTTCCAACTGCTTACACACCAAGGAGGAACAGTTCATGTACCTCATAGGTGAACTGACTTAGAGAACATGGAGCAAAGTTGCTACACCTACAGTAGGCATTTAACAAACATTACCATTATAATCAGCCATTTGTTTTTACACACAGTTTTGTACTTGAAAATCCTCTAAGAAAGATTTACCCCAAAGTTCCGTGAGGAATAAAAATAGCTGGAGCTCTATAGAGCCCTAAGAGGAAGTAATCTTTATGTCTGCTAAAGGGCTGCCCTGCTGCTACCAGAATGAGGAGTCATAAGTGACAGTGACATCCAGAAACTAGAGAAAGCAGAGCACCTAAAAGTCTCACAGTACAAAATCAGGAAGTCTTTGAGTGGCATGCCCTGATAAAGGGTTCCACAATTTCTCCCAGTCTTCTCAGAGAACTTGCCTGTCTCCCTGACAACTCGCTTCTGTTGCCAAACTTAGAAGCAATACATGATTTCACTGAATACATGATTTTACAGCTGAACAGAATCCCCCCGTGCGTGTATGTGTGTGTGCGCATGCAAGCGTGTGCATGTCTGCACATATATTTTCACTATTCATTCATCAGTTGGAGAACACTTAAGAAGAAAAATGAAATTATGAAATTTGCAGGTAAATGGGTGGAACTACAGGATATTATACTGAGTAAGGTAATTAGAACAGAAAAACCAGAAAAACATGCACTGGATAATCTCTCCTGTTTGTGGATCCTAGCCACGAATCTTTAGATGTGTCTATCCTGGAGTAAACGCAGGGACTAGGACAGGGGGAAGCTGGAGGGGGGGAGTAAGATACAGGCACTATGAAGGGGAACATTGGAAAAACATGGGGCTTTATCTGGGAAAGGGAAAGATGGGGAAATACCAAAGATAGGGTAGGGAGAAAGAAGAATAAAGAACACTAAGAATAACCCCTAAAGTCATAGGGAAACACATATTATTTTTACTTAAAATAGACATATAATACATGTGTATTCATAAACTATATAAATAATTTAAATGAAATTGTGCCACTTGCAGTGATAATGCCCCCCACAAGAGCCATAAACTGTTTAAGAAAACCCCAGTGCCAGGCACGGGATGCCTCCCTTAGAGCCGTTGGTCAAAGAAATCCAAAACAGTATGTTCTATTGCCATTGTTCTTGGTTGTCTCCTGAGCTTGAAGGTAAAGCCTACTGCTGAAGACACATCACAGTTCAGACACAGAAATCAGAGTTATCAAGTTGGAACTGACCTGGACACCTCCTCCCTGAGGACTGGCCCTCAACGTATTGGAAGGTATTATGCAGTAGGTCAAGGGGAAGGGCAACTGTCAGTCCTACCCAGCTTTGCTGAGGGAAGATGTGATGTGCCCAAGCTAGCTGACGATAGAGGTAGAAACCAACTCCACGAGAGACTTTCTTATACATTGTGGGTCTAAAGAGGACTTGAGTTTAGCTGGGAGTCCCAAGAGATCCAACCTGCCCAGATAGATCATTACCAACATTGATGCTAACTCTGAGTATCAAGTGTCCATCAACTAGCGAGATATCTACAATAGTGTGATAGTGATACTTTTACAATCAATCATTGTCCAATTAGACATAATGCCCACTCAATAGAAGGTAATTCATGTCTGGAACTGAAAAGCTAACTAACTGCCCCTGACTGGAAAAGTCCACAGGACTGAGAAGAGAACCTACCATTGCCATTGTCCAAAAACCAAGATAATGTCTAACTACACTCTACATACTTATCCTTACATCCATAAGTAAATGTGGCCCCCACTTCTCATCAAAGAAATTTTTTTTAGCAATGGACAGAGATTATACAGAGGCCTAAAACTAGTCAAAATGCAGACAATAAGTAACTTTGAGGTAATCAACCCTAACTGCTACATCTAACAACCTAGTTGACACATTGTATGTAATACCTATACCTAGGACTCAGGGAAAATCTCTGAAAGTGGAAAGATTGTCAAGAGTTGGAGAGCCAGGCCTGCTGTGAGATAGTATCTTCTACATATGACAGAGAAACCGTATCCATGAACTCTCAACAATATGGTTGCCTGCAAGATCAGCACAATGACAACATCAGTTCACATGACATTTCGGGCAGGAGAAATTCCATGTTTCCCCTAAATAGCTACAGGAGGTCAATGCTTGCTGAGATATGGAGAATTCGTCTCCTCCAGGGACAAACTCCCATATAGGTTGTCCAATCTCAAGTGGTCAGTCCTGAATACATGTACATATGAGCAAAGCTCAGTAGGTTCATACACACACATATGTATGTGTATACTTATGTATATACAAAGAACAATAATTGAAGAAAAGATCATTAATTTGTAGAGACACGGGAGGAACTGAGGGTAGAGGGAGGTTCAAAGTAATGGAGATGCAGACTTCACATACGAAGTTCTCAAAAGAAATTATTAAATAAAAGTAAGAAAGAAGCAGTTTACAGTTACTGTTTCCTCCCTAGGCATCCCCTCTACCCTAAGGTAGCACAGTGGAGACTTTAGAGTCAAGCAGACCTGGGTCTTTAGCTTGAGGTGGACCTCTAAGATGCAAGTAATAACTGAATGTCTCATGAAGCCTTTTCGGGAGGATCAAGTAAGTTGATGTGCTGTGCTGTGCAGTGCTGTGTTTAACAGTCATCGGCACAAAGATGCAGTTCAATAAAGTATTCCTGATCTTAACTATTATTGGAACCACGCACCATTTCTTTAAACTACTAGACTATTGTTAGGTATTTAATAAATGCAAAGCTTTCTAAAACAAACTCATCTTTTAGTACAAAGCATGAACTTGTTAGCTGCTCACCAGAATGTGCACCTCCCTTTCCACAAGCAATAGAAGCAGGAGGCCCAGCTAGGGCCCTTCACACCTTATGGAGCCCTGTGGCTAAGCACCCACTAGTGGAAAAGTGTAGACCTGGGTCATATACATGTACCCGTCTACACCCTTGCTCCACCTGCAAGGTGAACACGAAGGTTCATGAAAAGACCACAGGAAATCTATTTTCTTCTCTTAGAGTGGAAAAGTCAGTCAGAGGAAGCAGAGCAAAGAATGGATAAAATCTGAAGGTCCGAAAGACTACAGAGAACCCAATGGCTTGCCCTAGACTCCTATAGAAAACAAAATTAAACTTCCTAAGTCTTTAATCCATATAGGGTTGGGCCTATTTGTTATAGTAGCTGAAAAGATAAACTTGGTATACCAAAATGATCACTTTCTGCAAACTATGACTTATCTGAAAATTTACAATGCCTTGAAACAAACTAAATGGTAAGATCATAGCCACAACCCAAGAAGTCAGTCAAACAATTGAACTTAAAAAAAAACCCTAAGGAAAATATTCTTTAAATATCCCTGTCTTACTGAAGAATCAGTCCTCACACTTCTTTTTTCCTTCTACTCTTTCCACTCTTCTCTTCCCTGCTCCTCTTCTTTCTCTTTTCCTTTCTCGACAGTATCATCTCTATCCCAAGCTGGTCTTGAGCTTGCTATGTACCCAAGGCTGGCCTTGACCTCCTGACTCTTCTGCCTCTACCTCCCAAGTTCTGAGTTGCAGGTGTGAGTCACAATGCTCAACATTTTTCTATGTGTCTTTCAATTCTTCCAAATGCAACAGAAGAGTCAGAGATGTATAAAGTGATATGATTAGAAGGTCAAGTTGGGGGAAGGACAGAGAGGGAGAACAAGGAAAGAGATTATCTTGATGGGGGAGCCATTATGAGATTAGCAAGAAACCCAGAACTAGGGAAGTTCCCAGGAATGCACAAGGATGACTCCAGTTAAGACTCTAAGCAATAGTGGAGAGAATCCCTGAACTAGCCTTCCCCATAATCAGATTGGCGACTACTTAATTGTTACCATAGAACTTCCATCCAGTAACTGATGGAAATAGATGCAGAGATCCACAGCTAAACACTGGGCTGAGCTCCTGGAGTCCAGTCAAAGAGAGGGAGGAGCAATAACATGAGCAAGGGGGTTAAGTCCATGATGGGGAAACCTATATAAACAGTTGACCCAAGCTAGTGAAAGCTCACTGACTCAAGAATGACAGCTGAGGACCTGCACAGGACCAAACTAGTCACTCTGAATATGGGTGACAGTTGTGTGGCTTGGGCAGTTTGCTGGGCCACTGTCAGTGAGATCAGGATTTATCCTTAGTGCATGAACTGTCTTTTGGAGCCCATTCCCTATGGAGGGATACTTTGCTCAGCCTAGAAACAGGGAGGAGGGCCTTGGTCCTGCCTCAATGTGATATGACAGACTTTGTTGACTTCCCATGGGAGGCCTTACTCTCTCTGAGGAGTGGATGGGAGTGGGGGTTGGGGAAAAGGTGGAGGGAGCAGGAGGAGGGAGGGAGAGGGAATTAGGATTGGAATATAAAATAAAAAAAGATGGTTTTAAAAACATTTTAAAAAGAAGGAAAGCATAAAAATAACTCAGTCTTTAAATTTGTAGTTTCAAATGTCTTTATTTCAAGCAAAGTATGAAAATGAAAAAAGCATATCTCCTTGTTTTCGGACATCATCTAATCTGGTCCTTGGAGCTGAAGTCATCTTGGTAGTTGATGTGAAAATGAAGACAGTTCGATGGGTATCTGCTGAAATTCTTACATTATAAACTCAGTGGTCTGTAGAGTGGGGACACAATGGTGAGATGTAGAACCATGGCCATGTCTTCAGGAGGCTTAGCTTCTAGTCAGGAGAAACAAAAATTACTGGAATAACAAAAATTTGAATGGTACCTGTTATCTGCTCTAACTAATAACAATCAAGGCTTTACCAGCTAAAATTCATGAGTTTAGCGTAAGCTAGACACTTCCTGGCTTTGTTGAGAGAACACATGTGACCCTCACAACATCTCTAGTGGTAGTTATCATATTCCTCCTCTGTACACGTGAAAATGATAAATTAGCTTCTTGTCCAAGATCACATAACAGTCCAGACTCAGGGCACTTGACACCAATGACAATTCTTTCAACATATGAAGGTGCAGAATACAGAAAGAGGCTCCCAACTTGCTGGGCAACCTAATCCCCTGGTATTGGCGCAAACTGGTGAAAGCAAAGAAACAAAACATCCAGCCAAGCAATGCCTGATCTTCACTAAGTTCTCAGGGGTAGGTCTGGGTACCACAAGGAGTGTTCACATCTCCACCCAGCAAGTAGCTCAGGAATTAGGAATAAAACATAGAACCCAGGACAACCCTAGTGAAAACCTTTGGCTCCTCAAAGGGATGGAAAGGGGCTATCCCTAACAGAAAAGTAGGCTCCCTTCTTTTAGTATTTATTTATTTATTTATTTAGGTTTTTCAAGACAGGGCTTCTCTGTGTAGCCCTTGCTGTCCTAGAACTAGCTCTGTAAATGAGCCTGGCCTCGAACTCACAGAGATCTACCTGCCTCTGCCTCCCAAGTGCTGGGATTAAAGGCGTGAGCCACCACCACCTGGCTGCTCCCTTGTTTTAAAGACCAATTAAAAACCATGCACAAGTTTTCTCCTCCACAAGTTTCAACTCCCATTTCTGAAACATTCATCCATGTCTCCTGGGGATTGAGAGTATGATGCTGCAGGTCTGTGGGACACTGAAGGGGCAGCTACCTCCATTCTAAGAGAAAACTTGTTTCTGCACTAAGTGTGAACAAGGTTTTTGTGTCTTCTACTTCTGATAAAGAATATCAACAACAGAGCTGGTGATTACTCCCTCACATCTGCTCTTCCCCAGGCAGAAATATACTCCTTTACCTATCAATCTGGGATTGGTTATATGACTTGATTTGGTGAAAAGAATGTTCCAGGCATGACAAGAAGGAAGTTCTTAAACTTCCACAGTCTGTCCTGGCACTTGTGTTCTCACACCCACAATGAACGAAGTGAACCTTTAGGAGCAGCTGCCACTTTAACCAGGCCCCAGAATGCACACACCTGAGCAGATTTAAGACAGTCTATATACATCAGCGATTCTCAACCTGTGGGTTGTGGCCCCTTTGACAAGCCTCTATCTTCAAAAAAAAATTTACAGTATGATTCATATCAGTAGCAAAATTACAGTTATAAAGTAGCAATGAAAATAATTTTATGGTTGGGGGCATCACAACATGAGGAACTGTATTAAAGGTTCACAGCATTAGCAAGGTTGAGAACCACGGCTCTAGACAATAAGCCTAAAGTTGAGCATCCTCCTCAACCCTTGCAGACACACATCTGTGCTGAGTATTGAATGCCACTGCCACCTTTGGGTATGGAATTTCCCCCAAAGGCCATGTATCAAGAATTGGTCTTTGTTGCCAATACTGTTCAGAGATAATGAAACCTTTGAGAAGAGAGGCCCAAGAGAAAGAAGTTGGGTCACTGGAGGCATGCCTCTGAAGGGGATCTTGGGACACTTGGCTCTCCTTTTTGTTACTTCTGGCTGCCATGAGGTAAAGCAGGTCCCCGCTACCCTATACTCCCATCATGAAGTACCATGCTTTCACAATCCCAGTGGAGTAAGATAAAGTCTCAGAAACTGTAAGTCAAAATAGAAACTTTTCCTCTTTTTAAGTTGATTTTTTTCCACAAATTTGTTACAAGGACAGGAGCAATTAACACAGCCATGAGCCTTGGGATAGTTTGTGACGTTACATTATTTCAATGGTAGCTAATGAATGTGTCACCAGGTATATTTTATTGACCGAAACACCAAATTACAGATACAAATGCAGGCCTCTACTGTTTTAATTTTTATTTTGAATTTCCTTATGTATGTGCACCATTTCCCCCAAACAGTTGCTTCTCAGTTACGTGAACAAAGACTCTGACAAATAGAACCAGAGTCATATGCTCTCGGTAAAGTGACACCCATCTTAGTAAAACATCTATGCCATATCTCCTCCGAAGATGGGCATTTGGAAAGAGAAACGGTAATCACTTTTTGTGACAGAGTTTCATTAAAACTGCCTTTCAGTTAGGAACAAGCCTAGCTCTGAGGAACAATATCTTCAGGCTTAGGGTCATCACAGACCTGTGGTAAGGAATCAGGTGTCAGTCAAACCCATTTTATTTTCTGTTTCCCACCCATCACATTTGCAATGAACCAGTAAAGTCTATGTGGGGTTTCACAAAACTGCTGAGGAAAAACGCTGAAGGACTCTACAGGTCCTTAGAGTTAGGAAGCAAGCATTATTTTAAATATGAGTATATATAATCTTGCTTTAAAATAAAATGCCAAATGTACTAGATCAGTCAAATGAATTAGTCAACATTTTTATTTACACATTTTTTAAAAATAGATCTTTAAGAAAGGCAAAGCAAGCTACATTAAAAGAGAACTGGAGCAGCAATGGGATTTTTCTCAGATCCCTCTGTGGCTTTCAATGTGGTAACGGCCTTTGAGTCGTCTAGCGTTTGCGCAGCAGAAACTAACCACTAACCGTAATGAAGCCACATCGTGTCCACATCCTCACCTGGGGCTGGACTTCTTTTCACTCCATGTGGTCACATGTCCTGACCGTCAGGTTCGCACGTGCAGGCCCAGACTACCCTCCTTCCTTTACATCCTCAGTTCTTCTGCCCAGGTCTGTCTGCCCCAACTTCCATAGTCAAATGGTTCCTACTCCACAGAGCCCCCCCCCCAACCCCTCACTTCAGATTGGCCTCTCAGCCTCTGTCTCCTCAGAGACTTTACTTTTCCTTCCTTCCCAACTGTTCAGATTAATTTACCAGCTTCTCCATTAGCCCAAGGACTTTGCTATATAATTACTACTCTATCCTCAGATCCTGGATTGTGCCTGAACAGCTGACACTCAGCAAATATTTACTAATAAAGAATTGGGAGTTTAGATAATGCAGCATGGAGAGTAGAAAAAGAAGCTATTTAATACTTATTAAATCAACATGTTTGTTACACAGAATCTTTCAAAATATAGATGTTACCAGTGAGGGAAAAGGGAAACCAGCAAAGAGGCTTGGGAATGGGGGGCGGGGAGAATTTAGAAATCATTTGCCTAGAAGAGCCCAGTACACTCTACAATGGAGAAAACTGCTAGCATGTATCTTACAGGACTGAGGATCATTTCAGTAGGAAATGATTGTCAAGTGCAGCATTTAGGTGGTCTCTATGAGTGAACTGCTCAGTTATTACAGAGTTCCTCAAATATGGCCTGTCCCAGGATTTCCTGAGCAGCTTCCAGCATCTGAGAATGTAACATTCCCAGGACTATTATTAAAGAGGTGCATAGCATTTAAAGGGGAGGAAATGGCATTTTGCTAACTTCAGAGTTTGTTCTTGGATTCTTCATGAGAGCCCTATAAATTCTTTCACAATAAACAATGCACAACTTGTGTCCTGTTTTTCCAGCACTTGGTGGTTGAAGGATGAGAAAAGCTATTTTCTGTTTATGTATAGTTTAATATAGCTCTCCAGACCCTTGAAATGTATGAGCTTCTGTCTAATCACATGACCTAATATCTCAAAAGCTTAAATCTACATAAACAATACTAAGTTAAGGTTGGTACACTTTGAAACTGCAACAGTTTATGTAGGGAATGTTTTACTATCCCATGGATTCCTAGAACCACTCAGTATAACTTGTACAAACATAACTCAGAACTTCCAGGGAAATCAAAGTCTACCAAAAGTAAAAATTCTTAACCCGAGACATAAGCACGTAAGGTTATTTTGGTAACGATTTGTTCCACTGTACTGTAGAACCACGAAAAGGATTCAAGAGTCTGAGGACTTTGTAGTGCTGGGAGCATCAGTGTGGAGGAGGGATTGGAGATAGAACAACCGCAAGTATTAACACTTAGGGACTGTTTCTACTTGGCAGGCCCTTCACATACATACTTTTACCTAATTGTCACAGTCAGAAGTAGGCCCTATTTCCACCCTCATCAGACAGAGATTGTGGTCTCATGGCCAACCCAGTTCCTGCAGAGGAAATGATAAACAAAACACTCACCTGTGAACACACCTAATCTATCCTGAGGTTCGCATAGACTCTCACCCCATTTTAGAGAAGCAGAAAAGGGGACACTGGGAGCTCCTATAACTTGATGAAAGAATAAAGACAAGGTTCCTAGGGAGGTAACCTGGCTGTGGAATCCTTCGGCCAGTTCAGTGTTCACAGCTGTCCTCTTCCCTCCTCATTCATCCTCACTTCCAGTCACTACACTGTTCCGTCCACAGGACCTGGATGTCAGTCTAGCTGGATCTAGTAGAGAAATCCAGCTTTTCCAAACAATAGACTGCTCAAAGTATCTGATAAAGGAGAGTACCCAGGACAGTGTCTGAGGAAAGAAATGCTGCCACCAATACAGATGTCCCTAAGCTGAGGGAAGTAACACCCAATAAAGCCACCACACCTGAAAAATACCATGAGGATGAAACTCAGTCCATCCTACCTGAGCAGCAGAGCACTTGCAGGGTGCATGCTTCCCCTGTGGCCATGCGGCTCAGAGAACCAGGCTCACCACTCTGCCTGGCACCACAGAAACCACAGGACTTGCTCATAGCCACGTCTCTCAGAACCTAAGAGGTACAAACACATTCTGTGCAGATGTCCCTGCTCTTGCATTACGTCTCTGTCATTCTGGCACATGTGCAGGATGGGGGCTCAAAGAGTATTCAGGATGCATCTACTCAGTGAGCTATGAAGCAGTAGGGTGCTTTGGCCTTCTATCCAGATGTGCTCCTGTGCCAGCTGTCGACTGTCTA